GTGCTATGATGATTTAATTCCAGACGAAGCCTATCAGCTGCGCATAGCAGAGAGTGACGAGCTGAGCCACGCGGTAATTAAACTCTTCCTTTAAAATTAAAAATCTCGAAAGGAGTCGCGCTGTATGAATTTGAATTCAACTACGTTATGTTCCAGTGAATCAAATAACCAAAATTAGTTTTCTTTAAATATATTACGTGTGCTGCTCCAGCAGATTGACTTCAGTATAGATAAACTGACAGCTGCGTGTTTCCAGATTTCCCTTGATGATGTGTGTATTTAACCTCAGCAAACACACTGGAAGGTGAGCAGACGCGAGGTGCTTCAGCGTTTGGAGCAACTCCTAAAGCGCGACCACGCACCTTTGCGCGCCCCCGAACCAAGCTTTGGAGAAGACACGTGGACGCGCTTCCTGCGCGCCGCACATGATGCAGCGGAGTCCAGCTGTCACCTACCTCATGGCCCCGCAACACTAGTTATTCTCCTGGATGACAATTTTTACTACCAAAGCATGCGATATGAAGTTTATCAGCTTGCCAGAAAACGTATGTGAAATTTCAAATGCTGCAGTACAGAGGCATTGTTTGTTAGAGTTAGTCATGAGGGGGACATTGGCTGGGATTTGTTGTGATTGACAGTCAAATAATATTTCCAATAGCTGGTTTTCTCGATTCAGCTGTTTGGACACTTCACATAGACAGTGTACTAATGAAATGCTTGCAGGGAAAAGTGGCATTTCTAAAATTTTATTTTCAAAATAGCATTTCTTAATTTGCCTAGCAATTACACTTGCTTATGCCAGACAGGGTGTTAATTTCCTCCCTTAGATCTGGAACAAACACACCCATATTCATTTTGTTCTTGTGCTCAGCATATAGAAATCCTAATGTTTTATATATACTTTTATTATATATGATGATATTATATTCATGGTGCGGCATGGTGGTGCAGTGGTTTGCACTGTTGCTTCACACCCCTGAGACCTGGGTTCAAGTCTCTGCCTGGGTTACATGTGTGTGGAGTTTGCATGTTCTCCCCGTGTCGTCGTGGGGTTTCCTCCGGGCACTCCCGTTTCCCCCCACAGTCGGAAGACATGCTGAAGCTAATTGGAGTTACTAAATTGCCCATAGGTGTGAGTGTGCCCTGCAATGGGCTGGACCCCCATCTTGGGTTGTTTCCCGCCTCATGCCTGTAGCTCCCAGGATAGGCTCCAGACCCCCTGTGACCCAGTAGGATAAGTGGGTTGGAAAATGGATGGATATTATATTCAGCCACACATTTAATAAGTGGATGCCCCCCTTACAACAAGGCTCCCTCTTGCTCCTGATAAAAGGTAGTAACTTTTTTAATGAAGTAAAAAACGGTTATAAAAATTTCAGCGTAATTAATAACCTGACTATAGACCATTGATAAACCCTTTATAAGGGTGGGTTTATTGCAAAGTGGTACCAATGAGTGTTGCTGGTTTCCTACTCACTGATTGTAAACAGCTCAGGTGAATAACACCAGTTACCCACATGATTTTGTGACTTTCACAGTCTTTGACAGAAAAGTGTATTACTGCCCTTATGAAACGTGTTTCAGTGTTATGGAGATTGTCAGATGGGCAGCATAATGATTCTGAGGTTATTAGATGGGACAGGACAGCTCTCTCTCCCCCCTCTTTGTGCGCAGACTCTCTGGGCTTCTGTCAGCTGCACGTGCACTGTCCCGTGAACTCATGCCTGAGCAGGAACCAGGCGAGGAGCCGGCCGCTGCCGGACGAGGTGGTGGTGGAGATGGCGAAGCGTATGGAGGCTCCCAACCCTGTCAGAAACGGCTGGGAGCAGAGGAGCCTCACGCTCACCAGTGACGGTGCCTTTTCACCACAGGACGTGTACGTCTAGCACCAGCGGGACGTCGCTTAGTCTCGGAAATGTGCTGTGATGACCGTTCGCAAGCTTTGTGATGGTTCTTTGGTGGTCGTCCTCAGTATCTCATTGAAAAAGAGTGACACCAGGTGCTTAGGACTTATCTGCGGGTAGATGTAAAGATCAGGTGAAAGAATTTAACATGTCTGTGATCCGTACGTTGTCCCCTCCTGCCTGGAGAGAAACAAAGGCCTCTGTCCCTCTCTGGCTTCAGAGAGCTGTCCGTCGGTCTGATTGCTGCTGCGATGGACGACCCCCTGTGCCCAATCCAGGATGACACAGAGCAGAAGGCAAGGGAGCTTTTAACTACTAATTACGGGTACACAAGTAATGGAACATTAGCCTAAATAGAAAGAGAATACATGTTTGCATATATGCTACAGGGACGGTCTAGAATACCTAATGATTTTTACATTCACTGGTGCCATTATCAGACTCCTTGTTCCTCTGACATCATTAAATGGAGACGGGTCCTTTACTGTGGACTGACCTCAAATTATGACATCACCGCATCTCCCACGCTGACAGCGATCAGCATACATATCACCCTGTGTCTGAAGTAACCCACCGTCTTAAAACTAGCCTCGCTACATAAAACAAACTAAGCCATCTAAGAACTTGAATTTTAACCATTTCGTCAGGTGAGGACCAAGGTGATCTTGATGAACCACAGTGTGGTACAAAAAGAGATGGTGATGTGAAATGAAGGATTAGTTATTGGGAGTTTTTTCAGGCAGAGCTGTGTATGGTCTGTGGGCAAATCATTGTGGGAGGGGCCTAACTAGTTCTTTGTGGTACCGTTCCCTTTAAGGAGGCCGACCGGCTGAGCTGCGCGTCCAGCGTGGTTCACCAAGCGGACCAGGCCTGCCGTCGGTTGGTGTCCCGGGCCATGCAGGGGGCCAGAGGTCAGTCTACGGTCACGTGGTCTCCAGGACCTGCTGCTCATTGGCTGGGCGCCTTTGTGCTCTTAGGGATGGGCTTTCTGGGCTGATACCCAGTAGTTCTGGGTTTGATCCTGCAAATCTTATGTAGTTCTCTCCTCTATGAGAACATATACCATCTCTCTGTAATCCTGGTAATAGTTGCTACTCACTCAATTCCAATAACATCGCTCTCATCAGTGATACTATGAAACCAAGGTGGCCCCTAAGTGCCAGACTCATATAGATCATTCTGTCACCTCTGGCTTAGAACACTGGGACACTGGTTCTCCTCTACACTGTTGGGATGAGAAGCATACATGATAATCAGATACATAGTTTCGTGTCTCACTGGAACGGTCTAATCAAAGACTAGTCCTTAGAACTGTGTCCTCCACAAGCCAGAGATACTTTGTAGATCCATCAGGTCCTAAGTTCTGACCTTAAAGACTTCTTGAAGAATATACAATAATATATAAAGGGAAGGCTTTTATGGAAATATCTACTTCATGTAAACCCTTTTCTCTGTTAAATATCTGTTTACAGTATTGTTCCATTTTATTGCATTTTTGGGTTTAACTGGTATTTTCAGTTCTCATGAGGTCTGTGATGATTTGTCTGTCTGTCCACTTATTTTTTTGTTTGTTTGTTTACTGTAGAACGTAAAGTTCCCCCAGAGAGCATGAAGTCGCTAGCCACGGAACTAAACCAGCTGAAGACTCGATCCCTGGATGACCTACGGAAAGCGGCACTTGGCGGCCATCCCACAAGCCCCGGCGGGAGCGGGGACCTGGAGAGAGCGGTGAGCGGGGCGGTCGCTGCCTTTGAGCGGGAGACCAGCAACTGCATCAGACGATACAGCAGAGGGAACGCCGAGCTATGATGACCCGCACTTCCCAGCTGCGGTCAGAGGGTGGCGCAGTTTGTCACAAGATTTGGCACTAGATCGGACTATAAGTGTATCTCCTCTCGGTTTCAGACCGAGTAGCTGAGTTAGCCTTGACCTAGAGTGTGAGACGTGCCTTTTAATTTGTGTGGGCCAAACACGCCGTCGCTGGGTAAGAACACACACCAAGCCACCGTTAGAAAGTTGTTTACTTAGAATGTACAAAAAAGCAGGGCATTTAAATTGTAAATGACATCTGTTAACATTATTTCTACACAAACCGTGTTTCCACGTGTACGTTACAACAAGCACAACACAATTTTGCAGCAGGTTTATCCCCTGGCACAAACAAACTCATCACCCCAAATCTTCCTCTAGGAACAGCAACTGCATCTCAAAATGATGTTATGCACATACACAATAGTCTCTATAATAAAACACTACTGACTGGTTTCTTGTGATATTACAGTCACAAAAAAGTGATATTTACTTCCAGGCACAAAAAAATAAAAGGCTTTCGATGGAAATACACTTTTCCACATTACAAATAAAGGTTTCTATATAAGCCTTCTTGAATATAATGTACATTTTTTATGTACCAATCACATGATAAGAGATTGTTATATTATCTAGTTAACAGCCACTATTATTTTTTTTCCCTACCAAAATTAAATCAGCCCCAGCGGGTTAGACGACATTCTGAAATCAGAAATAATGGAAACGCTGGAAAGGCTGCCAGTTACGTGTGGTTAAGACCGAATGACAAAGTCATATTTACACCATCTTTTAACTCAAGGCAAAAAACAGACATTTTAGTAAAGGGTAATAAATTAAAGCATGAAAGTTACTGTAACCAAGTTCATAATTAAATAAAGGCCTTCTTTTGTGGATGGTTTCAGATGAATGACCGACTGATAAACCCATAGACTTAAAGACCCCCCTCCCCAGTTCAAAATGGCTTCAGCGCTGCATCCTGTGTGGGTGAAGAACTCTGAGTCAATCATCCGAAGCAACTTTTAATGACTGTTTTAAGGGCTCCGTAGACGTGGACGTCTTATAAATGGCCTCCCGTCCTGCCACAACACTGAAGAACGATTTGTGTAGCTGCCCCCAACCCCGTTTGCTGTGCCTCTCAAACATCTTGAATCGAGTATCTAAATGTAGTGAGAAGTACACAAAAAAAATCACACACACACACCTCAGGTATTCATAGTTTCTATAAATTAGTCAAACGTGTAATTTGCTTTACTCCACACTGTTTTTACCCCCCCCCCCCCCCCCCCCCCCCCCCCCCGCTACTGAAGGTTTTGTGCTTTTCCCATTGACAGTTACACCTCAGTCAGATCTCCGCTGCTATTCAAGCATTTTCAGTTCCCTGCTACATTCTGAGTGCTGAACAGGATGATTCCATTTGACCACCGAGACTCACATGGGGTGGGATTCGTAGATCTGTACGGAAAAAGGCCTTGTGGAACGCGGCGTTAAACTAAACGATAATAATAATAAACCCCATCACACACGGACCTACCAACGGACATCACTATGGATAGATTTACTCCACACATCCGTATCGTCTAACAAAAAAAACGACTAGGTACAGAACAGGAACTCACGACAGCCACACTGAAAATGTGCAAATCATTTCAATACTTAAAAGAGGCGCACAGATAGTTAAAAATCACTGATTTTTGTAAGAACACGGGGTGAGTCCATCAAACTGCTACAGTGCTATTAAAATATGCTATCTAAAAAAATACTTTGAAAAGGTTCATTAGAACACTTTGGCCTTGACGTGACGGAACGGTTAAAATTCAAGTTCTTAAAAGGCTTGGTTTGTGTTTTATGTAGCGAGGCTAGTTTTAAGATGGTGGGTTACTTCAGACACAAGGTGATATGTATGCTGATTGCTGTCGGCACGGGAGACGCGGTGATGTCATAGCTTGAGGCCAGTCCACAGTAAAGGACCCGTCTCCATTTAGTGATGTCAGAGGGACACTGAGTGTGACAATGGCACCAGTGAATGCAAAAATCATTAGGTATTCTAGACGGCACCTACAGCATATATCCAAACATGTACTCTCTCTTTCTGTTTAGGCTAATTTTCCATTACTTACACCCCCTGCGTAGCTATCATATGACAAGTTAACAGAAATTATTAAGTCTGATCTAGTTCTCAGGACATCTTAAACAATCACCTTCAGTGCTCTCTGAGGTATCGCAGATCGAGACCGACACCAGAACCAACGTCTCCAAAGCACGGCTGCGACCATGTGACCCTGGAGACTCTTACACGCCTCCTGAAGCTCCTCCCACTGCCTAAAGCACTTCCGTAGCTAAACGCTGGCTCGTTCGACGACGAATCATCGGCGTAGCCCATGAACACAGCACTTAATGCGGGAGGTTGGCAGGAAGTCAGGGGCTACCAAGCTCTTACTTTAGGTGCAGTTGGGGATAAATATCTCTATGCTACTGGTTACTGATTAGGTGAGTGAGTTTTATCGGAGGTGATTATCTCATTGAGAAACGGGAGTGTGCTGATATGAGGTACGACCCCTGACTCTGAGTCAGTTCGTCTGGCTTGGAAATGCGGGTGACACACACACTCACTTCGCCCCATTTTCCATCCAGAGACAGTCAACGTCATCTGCAAACCTTCACACTGTCTTTTGACTCTCTGAAAAAGGATTTTACCACCCAGATGAATCTGCACCCCGAGATTAATGGTGTATGTGATGTACGCTACACCGAAAGGCTATTCCACAGGATCCAATGGGATCACCATAAGATTTCCCGGAGCTTTAACTTCTGCGGAGGAAGGACGACGATGCAGAACGCTTCACGCCTTCTCGGCCGAACGTGCTGCATCGGGCCTTCCTCGCAGACCACCCGAGGTGTCGGGAGCCATAGTAACAGTCGTGTGCTCTGTCGGAGCCTTCCCTACTCGACGGCGGGAAGGAGCGACACATGCGCGTGTGGGGATTGTTTGTGCGCTAAGGCTGCACTGTGTCCCCTTTAAGAGAAGCCATTTAAAAAAAAAAAAAACAGCCATTCCTCTATGACCTCATAGGGGGTGGGGCTTCAGACATGCAGCTTTTGTGATTACCGTCCCCATAAACAATAGCTTGTCTAATAATAATAATAATAATAATAATAATAATAGTAATAATAATAGTAATAAAATAATAAACACCACCTAGTAAAATATCTTTGTAAAATAGAAAGAGGAAATATTTAATTGCCTGGGTAGACTCCTAAATAAAAGCGGAAGTCCCAAATTTACAAAAATAATAATTTAAGATGGTCTGAGTTGGCCTCCCACCCCACGAGTCACTGTTTGTGCTGCCCTCTGGCAAAGTGGCACGCAAAGTCATACTTGTTTTTGCACTTGCAGCCGCAGATATTGCACTGGAACGGGTTCTCGTAGCCGTGGCAGCCCATGTGGATGGTGTAGAGGATGTTGTCTGCAAAGTAAGTGTCACAATGCTGGCAGCTGTGCAGCAGCTGGGGGTCCTGTGCGGGCAGGTTGGGCGCCGGCGTGCTGGGCTGGCTGTTGCTGACGCTGGGCGTGCTGGTGCGAGCGCTGTGCTCGCTGCTGGGGCCCGCCACGGGGCTATAATTCCGGTGTGCGGGCGGCCGCGGCTCGGGAGTGGTGGGGGACGCGGCCCGGGCAGCGGCCACGCTGGCGGGGACGGCCACCGGGGCTGCGCCGGCGCTGGGCTGCTGGATGAGGAAGGGCTTCTCGTCCCGGCAGGACAGGCCGTCGGGCGACACGGGGGCCTGGGCCTCTGGGGGAAGGCTGGCCAGCTGGCCTGCTAGAGTAGACAGCTGATTCAGTGGGTTGTCCACCATCATGTCATGGCTGTCTCGGGAGCCGGTCCCACCTCCTATGTGTGCCTTGGCCACACCCTCGTAGGCCTCGGGGTGCAGGTGCGGCAGCTCGTGGGAGAAGTCGTTCAGGTAGTCCGGCTTCTGCACCACCATGGAGGGCGGGCTGAAGTTGATGAGGAGGCGGCGGCTGTAGCTCAGGCCGCTGGCCTTCTTCTGGAGGACGCTGAGCATCTTCTTGTTGGACAGGCCGGAGCGCGCCCCCTTCATGGGCAGCAGCTTGTGTCGCCGCCGCCGGTGGTGAGACAGGTTGCTGCGGTCGCTGCAGCGGAAGGAGCACAGCTCACACTTGTAGGGCTTCTCGCCCGTGTGCGAGCGCATGTGCGCCTCCAGGTGGCGCTCGTAGGCCGAGGCGAAGGGGCACAGGTGACAGCGGTGAGGCTTCTCACCTTGACGGCACGACACATGGATGGGGAGGGGGGGGGGGGGCACATTAGTGTCATGTATACAGAAAAGACAGAAGAACCTGATGTATCTCAGGAATTTATGTACAGATTCCGGGTGTCCCGCTTACCCGTGTGTATCCGGATGTGCTCGATGAGGCGCGCCGTGCCCTTGCTAGCGTAGTTGCAATACCGGCACTTTAGCTTGCCGTCGTAGGTCCTCTCAAAGCCGTCCACCAGCATGCCCGAGCTGTCCTCCAGGGACACCTCCACTGACGGGTGGTCCAGCCCATTCTGGTCATTCTCTGTACCGGCTGCCGGTAAACAGAACATAGGTCTGTACTCTACACTGGCACTATCACCGCCATCTCCATCCTCTGACTGCATCCCAACTGGGTTTGTGTGCAGACCTGGAACATAATGCCACTGACATGTGATGCTGGACCACTACTGATGACCATTTTACTTGCACTTCCATTCAGATTTACCGTAAAGTCTAAAATACACTGGAATAGAAAAAACTTTGCTACCAAGATTACGTAAATCCCCACAGCTATTGGCATAATAAAATAAATGCACCAGAGTCCCATAAAAAGGGATTATACCTGAGTAACAGACTAGGGCAAAATTAACTCTACTTGTTATTTTTCTGATTAAAACAGTACTGATTAAATACACAATTATGCTAATACACGGATTAATAAGGTTTAGATGCAAATGTATGCATTACTTACAAGTAGAACGAATTACAGAATTATTCATGCATAAACCACGATATACAGGATCGTACCATGTAACATGCATTAAGCCAACTTGCCCACAAGAGAAATTCTCACCTCCTTGGAGAGGCTCGGGTTCCTTGTCGCCGCTGACGGAGCCCGAGATCATGTTGACGTGCTGGGTTTGCTGCGTGAGGTACTCCTGAAAGTCTTTCACGAAGTCCAGTGGTTCGGGCTTCTTCTCCCCCATTCTGTGGCGGTGGTATATTCCACTGCGGACCCCTGAGACCAACAGCGCGCACAGAATAACACCGCCGTCGAGTCACACCATTTAATTACATTTAAAAATTTAAGTACTTCTTAAGGGCAAACAGTTCTTGTGATCGAAATTATTTTTTTTCCCGAAAAATTACATCATAGGAAGAGTAAAAGTGGAACGGGAGAACTGGTTTAGTTTTAATTCTGTTAAATAACAGACCAAAAGCAATTTATGTGCAGCCCGGACTGTAAGAAAACACCTCATAGGAACTGAGTGATACTGAAAAACGTGAGCAATCAGTATCCCTACAGTGAAATAAATATTTAAGAGGCTGTTTTACATGTTTAGACTGTTTACTAGTAAACAAAGCACATACCTCAAAAGACAAGAAAAAAATAAATATGGAGGTTGGGAAGTTTATTTTGAGACACCCGGAGATTCATGGTACACATCGTATTTTGTACAATACATAAAATTGACACCACGGTAATTTTTGAGTTTGAAATGGTTGTAAGTATAATACGCATCTAACAAAAATATAATTAATTCATACTGAATATTAAATATTCACATTTGAAATGTTTTGTATAGCTAAGGTATCGCGCACAAGCATGACAGCAATATAAAATGTAAAAAGTACAAGCCGTTTTTGTTTTCTAAAATGGAATTTAAATAAGCGTAGAAGAATTCAAAGCTCGCCAACGCAAATTTGTAATACACAAATCAACGCAAACACGACGGTGTCTACCAGTATTACTACAAGTAGCAGTAGCAATAATGTACACAGACATATACTGTAACTCTAACCGTACAGTTATCTTAAGGAGCCAACTTGTCCCGATTGGGAAATAAATCCAGATAAATCTATAGCCGGCGTGGCACTCTGGCTTAAACAAACAGTAGTTAGGGTTACTAACCACGCAGCCGGTCAAAGACGGGTGTCTCACACCAAAATACAGTAAACACCAGCTGCATAGCTCACCGATTCCGATTTTAATACGGCTAGTTTGTAACGTCACCGAGAATAGCTTACTGAAGTCTACCGTGCTATAAAAGCGAGCCTTTACCTTGTGGCAGTTCAGTGTTTACACTCCCCGGTAGCTCCGAGCATCAGCAGTACAACAAACACAGTCGGAATGATCCGCTGACATCCAATATTTTTCCATGTAGTCCAGTCAACGGGAAAACTCTAAAATACTATGTCAATATTATAAAATGTACGCTGCATTTAGCCGACTCTAAAGTATGCTTTCGATTTAAAAGTGTTTAAACTGACTATATAGGGTGACTGCTAACAAACTAACTAGCTACCTCAAAACACAAAGGGGAAAGACTGAGGGGTGAAAGGTTGGTGTCACAGTAGAGAGAGTCCCCACCGTGTACATTGTACGGAGAATAGTTCCGCTTTCCTTTAACGTTGTACAAGCACATCGATGTTGATTAAGATTGTAAAATTACTGTAGCAAATATATTAAATTGACCTTATATTGTCTTTATACATAATACGTGAAATTTGTTCAAGACTTCAATGGAAGGACATAGTGAAAATACTTTAGCTCATTTCACAGTAATGATGCATTCCCACACATATGTAATATGTCAAGTCTTGATGGGTGCTAATTAAACAAAACAAGTTCATACAATAACCTCCATTTAATAGCTGGATAGTAGTAGATGCTACATATTACTTTGTGCATTCTGAAAGCAAGAGCAAGCAAAATGTTTAAAAATGTAATTATGCTTTGTAATATTGCTTAGGAACACTGACGTTAACTACATTTTTATTTATATTTTCAGGTAATGTACGATGCAATGAGTGAACATCAAACAGACATGTTCTTTAAGTGACGTAGTTAGATAGCGACGGGGAGAAACGAGATGGTTGACTGTGGCTCGCAATATATGTTGTAATTATTATGTTAAAGTATTATATTCTGCTTTGGGTAATAGCGCACTAATAACATATAATTTAAATATAATTAATTTTTTTTATTATTTTAAGAAGAAAACAACACTATCACGTGGCTGGTCTGACTTAGAAATGGAAGTGGTTCAACCAGCAACGCCAAACTGACCGGTAGCATAGCCGAAAACTAGAAAAGAGTTCGTTAAAAGTTTTGCGGCAGTTGAAGCAGGCGAATAATCGCTGGACATCTATAGCAATTACAGGTTGCCGAAGTGGGAGACAATATATAATTAAACGAAATAAAGGAACAGTTTCAAAAATACTTTAATGCAAAACGTAATATAATTTCTAAAAGACCCTTTTTTTAAAACCCGTTTTAAGAGTGGTGAAACAATTGATCAGTAGGGCATATTCCGAGTTGCGCGATGGAAGTATGACATTGTAATTAGAGGATCTTACTAATTACCTGATAAAGGACGTGTGTGGTGTTTGAGAGAGGGCACTGAGAGAGTGACTGTTAGGAAAGCAAGATCTGGATTTGGGACAAGTGATAGCGTATAGCGTCGGGCTGTAGAAAAGGTGAACACACAAGCAAAATATGATATCGATGGCGCGTGCAGCGTAGATGCATTAATGAAACGGGACACAGGAGGCACAGAAAAAGAACGAGTGTGCTAAAGGCTGAAAGTTCTTAATAAGTAAAACTCACAGTGATCAAAATGTACCTGATGGGCAACACAGCATTCTCTGCGACGATGTCCAGCATATGGGAAAACTTGCAAGAATTGCAATAAAATGAATCATTATGCACGGTATAAAGATACAGAGATATAAAGAAAGGCAGATGCAGTTACCCAAGATGATGAGGAATTCTGTGTAGATACAGTAATAGAAAATTCAAATCACATAAAAGAATGTAGTCTGTAACTTAAAGTCAACGAAAAATACATAAATTCAAAGTGGATGCAGGTGCAGAAGACAATATCCTTTTCGGGATGGATTACAAGAGTTTGCAACCATGACCAAAACTACACATGCCCAGGCCACAATGCAAAAATGTATGTGCAGAGCTTGAGTGGAATGGTGAACTACACAGGGAAATTCTTACCTAAACTAGCTGAGATTATGGTTCCACTTCGAAGTTTGACTGAGAAGGAAACACAATATGAATAGAATCATGAGCACGAGTCAGCATGGAACCGACTGAAAAAGCAGTCGATTGAATAACCAGTCCTTGGACTTTATGATCCTGTAAAAAAAAAAACAATCAAAGTCTCTTCAGATACATCACGTAATGGACGAGGTGCTGTGCTTTTGCAGAAGTTTGCAGATACCTGAAGGCCAGTGGCGCATGCATTTCGATCCATGTCAGACACTGAAACCCGATATACACAAAAGGAAAAGTAGAGCTGTTCAGCATTATCTGTGATTGTAAAAGATTGCACCAGTTTGTTTCAGGTCAGGAAATCACTGCGTTATCTGTTCACAAACCTTTCATTTCACGATTCCAAAATCCACAAAATTATTGTCCTACTGAGAATTCCAAATATGCTGATCGAGCTCCAACATTACTGGCTGAAGGTGCAGTATATACAAGGAAAGATGATGTATACTGCAGACACTCTTTTCTTGAGCACTTGACCCAAAAGCGACTGAGAATTCAAGGACAGAGAAAGAGCAGATGGCATTTGTGGACATGATGACAGAAGCATTACCCGCTTCAGATGGAAAAATGAAAACCATGTGAACTGAGACTGAGAAAGATGACACACTGAAGAGTTTTAAATGAATTACACAGGGAAGGGCTGAATGCAAAGCAAGACTATGAGCTTAATTTGACAGAATTTTGGAACTACAGAATTGAATTGATGGTTGGACTGCACAGTCTGGTATTGGGGAAAAAAACAGGTGGACAGTTCAGGTCCGGAAAGTACAAAGGAATTCAAACCTTGGTCTGGATTTGTACTTTCTGGACCTGAACTTTCCACCTCTGGAGAAAAAAAAACATTGTGGTGCTGGAGTTTTGAAAAGGGTACAATGCCAGCATTTTGAAAAAAAATCAACGTTTATTATGCAAATTGCTATTTGATCTGGCTAAAAGGAATCTGTCTCTTTAAGCTCAATGCTGACAGTGGTGACGTTGCAAGAAACAAACGAGAGTAACAGTAGAGAAAGTGGTGCATTTTTTCACATTGTTCAGCGTCTAAGCAGCGGCTTAAGCAATACCTTGTGGAAACAAAACCGGATGTATGTTTCTATGGCTCTCACAAGCATGAGAGCTGCCTCTCATCTCCCACTGATCAAACGCTTTAAGCGGCCCACCTAGCCCACAGGGTTCAAATGCAATGCAGTTTTTTTCACCCCCCCCCCCACCCCCGAAAGGAGTGCGAATAGATACCTGACCAAATGACGCACCTACTGGCCCTTGATCCCGTTTACTTTAATCTGAGTTGTATTTATTGTCCATGCTCTGAAGCCTTCTTTCAGTATATTTCTAGAGGGTTCCTGCGCACATTCCTTAATAAATCATACCTGATTCAACTGTCTTCTCGTGATTTTTCTTTCACAACCTGAATTCACTGACAAAGAGGGGGCCTGAAGTGATATTTCGGCTGTAAAGCCGGCAAAAAAGGCGAGCCCATAAAACAGCAGAACCGGTTTGCAAGCGCTCTTTTAAAGTTTGTCTCTCAATGGGAAGCAACACAATCAAACCTGGCCAGATGTCAGACAAACATCAAGACCTTTTCAAGGAATTCAAAGACCGACAGGTGATAGCTGAGTAGTTAACGCCCCTGTGATGTCCATGAAGGAAACCAAAGAGATGGAAAAGTCTCTCAAAGCAGTAATATACACATTCGTACATAGCCTGGTGATGTGCAGGTCCATTTCATGAGCGACCCAAACTTGCTGATTAATTCAACCTGAGTGTGGCTCGAATCACTAATATTAAAAAAGAAAAAATGGTGGCTGATCTGCATATTTGACTAATTTTTGTTTGAAATAAAGCACAATAATGACATCTGAGAGTGTTTCCCCTTTTTTAGGAAAAATATTGAAGACTATCAAAATCGAAATTCATAATTCTGATATTGACATCATTTTGGTATTGCGACACTATTTGACAGTAGGTAATGATAGGATTCACAAAGGAAACAAGACGGTCATTCAATTGAAATTAAGAAGAGAAATGCTGAAGAAAATTCATGAAGGACATTTGGGAGTTGAAAAATGCAAGAGAAGAGCCCATGAAGTTATCTACTAGCCCAGAATCAGGATGAGATCTCACTGTAATACATATCAACAGTATCAGGCAAGTAACCCTCAAACCACACAGTGTGTCAGAAAGACCAGACTAGAAAATAGGAGTTGACTTATGATAGAAAAGATGACTTTATATCGAGTATACTATTCCCTCTAGTTACTACTACAACAGATATAGGATTCAATTAAGTCTTCAGTGACAATGGACTATAATTTGTCAGTGTGACATTCAGAGAGTTTAGCGAGGATTGGGATTTTGCAACATTTTTCTCAATCCGATGGGCTAGCTGAGAGGTCAGTACAGGAAGCAAAGAAACAGATGTACAAAGCCAAAAACGGAGGTCATTTTTATAAAAACTTTCTGGCAAAGCCACCTTTGGCAGGGGAACACAGAAACTGCCTGAACTCCATCCTGGTGATAAGGTATGACGGTGCATAGATAAAGCGACACATGGACACAAGAAGGTACTGTATTGGAACAAGTACAGAAAAGGTCATATGATATACAAACAGATGGTGCTCTTCTACAAAAACCCAGAGAGACATCAAAGGACCTTCAACCAACCAAGACAAATGACATGCGACACAAAACGTTTAAGCAGTTATAAACAAAATGTCCTGTGAAGTTGAAATGTTCATACATGGAAATGTAAATGATTAATCTTGTTTAAGAAGAGGAGATGATGCAATAAAGCTTTAAATAGACATGTTCAATCAGCAGTGTGTCTTTAAGCCATGTAGTTAGTGACAAGGAGAGATTAAATTAACCACAAAATATCTTAACAGCCATTATGTAACACAAATGTTCAGTCTCTCCTCAAATTACTCCTCACCCATCTACTTGAATCAAGGATACAGTTTACAATAAAATGTAATCATTAAACATCACTTTGCATATATTATCCGATTATGAACACATGTAAATCACTTTACTGTCACGGACATAGCAAATCCATTGTCTCACATTTCAGAAAATGTTTTGCAAAGTTCTTCACAGAAAATATCACACAGCAGGCAGGATCAGAAGATCGAAGAGATGACCCAGATCTAACACCACGTGTGTTTACACGTGTGCATTAGTTACTGTGGATTGGACCGACTGTCGATCGTTAAAGTGCATTCAGTGCGGACTTGTTTAAATGCAGAAGATCAGGGCCGACAACGTCTGCATTTTGTCGGGATCTGTTACGCTGGAAGGCAGCATGAGCTAAATTTTCCAGCCCTTAGGTCGGCAGGTACCCGCCCTGGCCGTAGAGAGCCGGGTCATGGAGGCTGCAGCACGGAGGCATGTCGGCCCGCTATACATCTCAGAGGAAGAGATTGTGTTGAAGGAGGCGAGGAAGTTTTAATCTCTGGGGATTTCACATGGAAGCTGATACAATGTAACTCTTTTGATCCAGGATAACAGCACTGACAGGAAAAAAATTATGTATTGTGCATGCCAGGGTTAGCCTATATTGATTAAGCACAACATGTACACCGTTTCATTATTGAGATTTTGAAACTCCAGTCATTTGAGTCCATCATAGTCTCGCTGTCTCGGTTGTGTGCTCACACACAAAACTATGCTGTCTTATTACGTAAATTAAACTTTGTTTTGTTGTTGCATTCCTCAATAGTGGGAAAAGTTTGCACAAGAACACATTGTGGATGAGAACTCAGCCATGGATGAGGCTAAGATGAAAGACCTATTGAACACTTTAGCTTGCCGTCGTAGGTCCTCTCAAAGCCGTCCACCAGCATGCCCGAGCTGTCCTCCAGGGACACCTCCACTGACGGGTGGTCCAGCCCATTCTGGTCATTCTCTGTACCGGCTGCCGGTAAACAGAACATAGGTCTGTACTCTACACTGGCACTATCACCGCCATCTCCATCCTCTGACTGCATCCCAACTGGGTTTGTGTGCAGACCTGGAACATAATGCCACTGACATGTGATGCTGGACCACTACTGATGACCATTTTACTTGCACTTCCATTCAGATTTACCGTAAAGTCTAGAATACACTGGAATAGAAAAAACTTTGCTACCAAGATTACGTAAATCCCCACAGCTATTGGCATAATAAAATAAATGCACCAGAGTCCCATAAAAAGGGATTATACCTGAGTAACAGACTAGGGCAAAATTAACTCTACTTGTTATTTTTCTGATTAAAACAGTACTGATTAAATACACAATTATGCTAATACTCTGATTAATAAGGTTTAGATGCAAATGTATGCATTACTTACAAGTAGAACGAATTACAGAATTATTCATGCATAAACCACGATATACAGGATCGTACCATGTAACATGCATTAAGCCAACTTGCCCACAAGAGAAATTCTCACCTCCTTGGAGAGGCTCGGGTTCCTTGTCGCCGCTGACGGAGCCCGAGATCATGTTGACGTGCTGGGTTTGCTGCGTGAGGTACTCCTGAAAGTCTTTCACGAAGTCCAGCGGTTCGGGCTTCTTCTCCCCCATTCTGTGGCGGTGGTAGCCTATATTCCGCTGCGGACCCCCGAGACCAACAGCGCGCACAAATACAGAGTAATACAGGCACAGTTCAGCTTCTACACCTCCGCAAATACAGTGAAATATTTAGGGAATGAAAATCAGCTTTTAACTGAACAGTTTAATAAAAGTTATCAAGAATGATGACCGCCCCCCCCCATAAACTAATGATACTGCCATCGACTCACTCCTTTTAAACATTGTAAATGACATGAAGATCATTTATTTTTATAAATTGTGGAATAAAAATAAAAAATAAGGACAGCAGAGTCAGGGAAACTCATTTAGTTAATCCCATGGAGGCTGAGAAATTTATTCCAAGACATCAGGAGTTTCATCATTCATCGTTTTATTTTATATAGTTAAACACATTAAGTCGACAGCACAACATTTAAAACGCTCTGACAGTCTATGGTTATAACAAGAAGCACATAAAATCTAATAATAAAATATATCCAACAGAAACATAATTAATTTAAACTGAATATTAAATATTCATATGTGAAGTACTTTGAACAGGTGAGTAATAGCTAAGTGACAGGTATCACAGCAATGCATAACAACAAAATAAAACTAAGTACACGCCGCTTTTAAAACCTAAAATATATTTTTGAATTCTGCCAGGCAGAATTCCATGCTTTTCATCGTCACCCAGCATTATAATACAGAAATCAACGGAAACAAAATTGCTTCTATACCTGGATGACTGCAAGTACCAGTGTCAGTAACGTACAAATATTAGCCTATATGCTGTACCACAATAAAGCTGTCACTCATACCGCAGTTATCACAATGAGCTACATTTCCCCTATAGGAGAATAAATCCAGATAAATCTATAGCAGGCGTGGCACTCCGGCTAAAACAAACAGTAGTTAGCGTTACTAACCACGCAGCCGGTCAAAGACGGGGGTCTCACCCAGCAAAATACAGTAAACACCAGCTGCATAGCTCACCGATTCCGATTTTCACACGGCTAGTTTTTAACGTCACCGAGAATAGCTTACTGAAGTCTACCGCGCTATAAAGGCGACTCTTTACCTTGTGGCAGTTCAGTGTTTACATTCCTCGGTAGCTCGGAGCATCAGCAGTACAAACACAGTCGGAATGATCCGCTGACATCCAATATTTTTCCATGTAGTCCAGTCAACGAGAAAACGTTTAAATACCATGGCGATATTAGAAAATGCGCGCTGCAATCAGCCGACTCTAAAGTGAAATACACTGACTTTCAAATATACTGATAGCTAACAAATTAACTACTTCAAAATACAGGTGGGAGGGACACAGTGACACCTCACCCTCCGGGGTGAAAGGTTGGTGTGACCGTAAAATGAATCCCCATCGTGTACTTTGTACTGAGAACAATAGTTCCTCTTTCCCTTGTACAGCCACACCGATATAACCCACTGCAAATTAGGACTGTAAAACTACTACAACGAATATACCATATATGACTACCCGTGTTATCTTAATGTATAATAAGAGAAATATTTTGTTCATGGCAATTCAATGGGACGACATAGTTCTAGTGAAAACTGTGCCCCCCAGGTCATTTCAGAGCAGCGATGCACCCCACACATCTGTAGTCTTTTTTTTATTATTATTTTGATGTGTGCTAATCAAACTTCATTAAGCCGGAGCAAAATAAATGTCACAAATTTTAATTATGCTTAAACATATTTACGTTTTATACATGATTTTCTACATTTTCAGGTAGACGTAGGCTATTGTATGCATTGTAGACATTATAATTATCACGATTTATTAATCAGTTCTAAGTTATTAACGTAAAAGATAAATACTCTAAAATGTAATATTATTACATATCATTGGTCTGATTTTCTGAGCATGTATATGCATAATTGTAAATTAAGAACTGTCTTATCACAGTCCTAATAGTATATGTAGGCCTATTAGTTGTCCCACGACCCTGACCGGGATAAACGACTGAAAGATGGTGATTGCAAATCAATGACTGTCTCTCTGCACTCAATAAAGTATACTGTATCTTAACAGATGTAGTTATCCCCCGACACCATCTAGGATAAGTGATTGGGAAGATTGCCGGATAGATGCACGATGTTTTATACCTACTATATAGTCATATTGCCTCACTGAAAATCGGCGATTGCATGCGGAAGATTGCACTTGTTAAAGGGCGGCGTGACCGTGAGCAGCCAGATGGCTCTTTTCTAACCCGCACTCACCGGCACAGAAGCTCGCGGACGCCCCCCCTCCCCGCATATTAACGGAAGTGAACATGGCGGCGCCCTTGGTCCGGCTCTGCGGGAAGGTGAGCGCGTTCCTATGCGATCTGCAGTAATTTACACGTATAAATACAGGCTACCTTGTAAACTAACAGATATGGGGCTGCCTCCCGGATACTGTTATGTTCAAAGTACGACCATAATACATAGTCACTTTATAAAGCAACGTCAAATTATTCCGCACGTATCTACTTGAACCCTGGACACAAGTAATGGTAAAACGTTATAATTAAAGGTAATTTTGCATATATTATCAGAATATCAACACCTGTCATATAACTTCTCTTTTTCTCACGTAAATCGATTTACTGACATTGTCATTGCAAATCTGCTACATAGTTTCATCTATATAGAGAAAAGGTTTTGCTAAGCTGTTTACAGAAGTGATCAAATGGCAGAAATGATTCGGATAAAATGCTGCGTGTCTTTACGCGTATGCAGGCGCTGTGGACCGTACCGACTGTCGATTGTTAAAGTGCATTAAGTGCGGGCTTGTTTAAATGCAGAGGATCAGGGCCGACGGTGTCTGTATTTTGTCAGGATCTATTACGCTTAAAAGCAGCATGGGCTAAATTTTCCAAGCTGCAGGTCGGCAGGTACCTGCCCCGGCCGTGGACAGCCAGTTCATGGAGGTTGCAGCACGGCGGCGCGTCGGCGACGGCGGAAAGCGAGCGGGCCGCCGCTGCTGGAATTCCTCACCCTCCGCTACAGTTCTTCTCAGAGGAAGAGATCATGATGAAGGAGGCGGGTGAGCTTTAATCTCTGGGGATTTCACAGGGAAGCTGATACAGTGTAACGCTTTTAAACCAGGACAGTAGCACTGACAGGAAACAAACGAAGTTTTATGCTTGCCAGGGTTATTTTGAATAAGAGCAGTATGTATGCCGTTTCATAGTTGAACTTATGAAACTACAATCATTGGCAGTGTTCACACACGAAATTATGCACTTATTAGATAATTTAGCTGAAGCCATACTTTTGTTTCATGCCTCAACAGTGAAAAAGTTTGCACAGGAACGCATTGCCCCACTTGTGTCAAAGATGGATGAGAACTCAGCCATGGATGAGACCATGATAAAGGAGCTATTTGAACAAGGGGTTTGTATCTCTCTCATTTGGATGATTGTGGGACAGCCCCCGGTGCATTATGTCACTCACATAGTCCTCCCTCTCCCGCATGCCTGTTGCAGTTAATGGGCATCGAGATTGACCCTCAGTACGGAGGTACTGGCTCCTCATTCTTCTCCTCCATCCTGGTCATTGAGGAGCTGGCGAAGGTGGACCCGTCCGTGGCGGTGCTGTGCGATATCCAGAACACGCTTATCAACACGCTGCTGGTCAAACTCGGCACGGAGGCCCAGAAGCAGCGCTACCTGACCCGACTTTCCACAGACATGGTGATGTCAGGCTGGGGTTGCCGTTTAGGGGTGCAAATGAAGCTTTATGAACTGATTGCTGTATTTTCTGACACCACTAGATAGGGCCCTCATCAAAAAAGGGGTTCAATTTATGCCCTGAAGCAAACCAAGAGCACCATCTAATGGGACCAAAAATACAGATAATGGTTCATGGAGCTTCATTTGGCCATCACTACCTGTGGCTATTGTTACTACTGGGGTTTATGGATAATGAAGTTCACAAGTGATATGCTACTGTACACCTGTTCTATTTCCTGAGCAAAACAATGTTCATTTAATGTACAATTCCCACCACGGTCTTGATATCGCTATGCATCACTAATGTATTCAGGGCTAATGACGGTGGAAATTTTGCCTGCTGCAGATAAGCAGCCGTAAAAATGACTGCTGATTTGCAGACGGGTCCGTTCTTCCTTCACTGGAAGAGACGACCTGGCTGGTGCCTCTGCACGGCTCAGTCTTGGCTCTCCTGAGAGAAGATGCATGGATGGATGTCTGTATACTGTAATTAATACTTTTAGCAGATCTTATACAGAAATGTGTATTTATATTACATTTTAATTACAGACTCATCGAATGGGACACTTTTTTTTTTCTTTTTTTGAAAAAGCAGGGTAAGAGAGTCCTTGGAGTAATTGGGGCTTAAAGGCTTTGCTCAGGGCCAGCAGTGACATCTCTCTGGGATTCGAACCAGTAACCTTCTGATCACAGGCAGTCACATTCCATCCCCCTTATTCTCCTAGATGAGTTCAGTCGAAGGGGAACAAGACAGAGACACTGGTGCATGATGTAGATCCTGCTGCTGATTCTAAAACCCACCAGTTTTTAAATTTGAGTTAATTCTTTCCCACAGGTGGGGAGCTTCTGCCTGTCGGAGGCGGAGGCCGGCAGCGATGCGTTCTCCCTGAAGACCCGCGCAGAAAAGCAGAAGGACTACTATGTCATCAACGGCTCCAAGATGTGGATCAGCAACGCGGAGCACGCGGGAGTGTTCCTGGTGATGGCCAATGCAGAACCCTCAGCCGTGAGTCGCGCACCCTCTCATTGTCCTGGGGTGGGAGGTCAGGTTTGGGTCTGCTCAGCCTCAGTTTGGGTTTGTCCGGTGTGGAACTCTACAGGAATCATCTGCGCTGAGACCAGTATGTAAGGAAGACCAAGTCGGAGTGCAGAGTAACTTGTAATAAAGATTCGCCTTTGTGATCATTTCTGATTAAAGCTTATGGTTGCTCCCTTGAGCAAAGTGTCTAACCTGAATCTGTCCAGTAAATATCCAGCTATACAATGTTACAAAATGTGTGTTTTCCACAAAAGCATCTGCTAAGAAAATAAGTGCTTCAGTGGTTTAATATTCATAGATTTGTGGGAGCTGCTGTCTGTATTTGAGTTCTGTGTTCAGTGCAACATCATTAATGTCCACTAGAGGGCGCACTTGCTTTAAAGTACATCCCTGTTGGCTGACCAGCCTGTTGTGGTAGCACACTGTAGTATTCTGCGGGTGTGTTTTGTGCTCTCCTTTATCTCCTTATATACTAGGCATTTGTAGAAGCATGTATAGTGCTTATAGAAATAAGATTATCTGATTGGTCATTGGTTGTCATGGAAACGATCTCACTTCCTGGTGCTTGGCAGGGTTATCGGGGTATTACCTGCTTTATAGTGGACAGGGACACAGAGGGGCTGCACATCGGGAAGAAGGAGAACAAGCTGGGCCTGCGTGCCTCCTCCACCTGCCCGCTCACCTTCGACGACGTCAAGGTACCCATCCTCGCCCTCTCACCCCACCATCTGCCGCTGGACCAGGAGACCCAACTTAGCAACGCCGTGTCTCTTTTTCAGGTCCCAGAGAACTGCGTCCTGGGGAAGGTGGGCCAGGGCTACAAGTACGCCATCGGGATGCTGAACGAGGGCCGCATCGGCATCGCTGCCCAGGTGGGGTCCCTTTTGGAGACTCGCCGTGTCGCGTCCCTGTCGCCGGCGATTCCCGCAGCCTCTGAACGCGGCTCCCCCACCCTCCGCAGATGCTGGGCCTGGCTCAAGGCTGCTTCGACCACGCCGTCCCCTACACCCGCCAGCGCGTTCAGTTTGGCAAGAGAATCTTTGACTTCCAGGTAAGCATGAGGGTACGGGGAGGTGTGCGGTTTGGGGCGTTACAGATCTGTGTCTGGAAGGTCATGAGTTCAAATCCCATGGCAGGCACTGCAATCATATCCCCACTTTACCCCTGAGCAAGGGTCTTAACCCCAAAACCTGCTGCAGGGATGCTGGCTGACCCTGTGCTCTGGTCTTCACTTGTATGTTGGACAAATGCATCAGCAAAATAAAAGAATTTGAATACCACAACTTTATAAAACCAGCAAAGGGATATCTGGCTCCAAAGTGGGGGGGGGACGGGGACTAAGAGAGAGTACTTTAAAAGAGAGGTAGGGCAGGACCCCTCCCTCACCCGATTTCGAGCTCATGAGGCATACACATCACTTCCGGCTGACCCTGTGCTTCCGTCGCAGGGAATGCAGCACCAGATCGCGCATGTGGCCACGCAGCTGGAGGCTGCGCGGCTGCTGACCTACAACGCGGCGCGGCTGAAGGAGGCCGGGAGGAACTTCATCAAGGAAGCCTGCATGGCCAAGTACTTCGCCGCAGAGGTGAGCTGCTGGGGGAGGGAGCAGGTTCTGGGACGGGCTGCATGTCCCTTCATCTGGGACCAGGGACGGCCAACCCCAAGTCTTGCAGGTTGTGTCATAGGACTGGCCCATTAATCAAATTATGATTTTGGTTTCCAACAATTATCAAAACAAAGTTATTGAAATTATCGTGCCACATTTTATTTCACAGTGATGCTCCCGTTTTGTCCTGTTATAAATCCAGCACACTGCTTTTTATGTGGTTTTCAATTGAATTATCTTTAGAGTTCTAGGAAATCCACTGTTTTTTAAAGTCCAATAAATGCACAATATTTCGAAAGTCTAAGTAATCTTGTTAAATAATCGCGATCTCGATATTGACCAAAATAATCGCGGTTGATTGATTTTCATTGTCACCCCATTGTGTCCATAAGTCAAAACGGAGCCCATCTTAAAGGACAACCAAGACGACGGGTAGGTAGCCAGGCCTTTGCACCTGAACATCTGTCTTGCATCGTTGTTCAACTTCCGTTAGGTTGCGACTCTGACGACGTCAAAGTGCATTGAGTGGATGGGTGGGGTGGGGTTCACCAAAGACTACCCCATCGAGAAGTTCTATAGGGACTGCAAGATCGGTGAGTGCCAGCTTGGTGATGTCAGCAGCTAAATGGGACGACTTCATGTCAAAGATTAATGTTATTGAGGTATTTTACACTTGCTACTTCTTTTTCAGGCACTATTTATGAAGGCACAACCAACATACAGTTGACAACAATGGCCAAGTTCATCGATCAGGAGTACAACGATTAAACTGCTGTCATACACTGTCCTGGTTTACAGAGACTGTCCCGTTTGTCAGTCTGGTTCTAGATATGACATAAGCATTTTGAACTCACAATAGAGAGTAACGCTGTTCCTTGTAACATTTCTGTGCTGCAGGTTTCATTATGAATATTGTTTGGAAGACCCTTCTTAACGTGGGACATGCTATAATGTAGCATTGAACTTGCCTGTTTTCCCAGTTCACCAGTGTGTCTAGATCATGCCGTACATTACATTTTACAGGGTCTTGAGGGCATCACACACCCTGTACAGTTATTCAGTGGGTACGTTGTCCACAGCAGTCTGCATTTTGCTTGTTGGTGCAATCAGACATTTCCCTTCAATTCCTTTTCCAGTTTCCATATCCAATAAGTGCAGTGTTAACCACATTAAGTGCAGGCTAATGTAAGTGCTTAATTTCAGCAGTTCATCCTCCTTTCCCTTTATGATTAAGTAACTGCACTTACCTTCCAAAGGTACAAAGGTATAGCTGAGACCGTGTTACAGTCCCAATAGCAGAAGCAGTAGCTTCCATTGGATGTTTCTGCAGCCATCCGGAGCCCAAACCATGTTCCTGTGATCTGTGCTGTTAGGGGTAGGGGCTTTGTATCAGCTGGTGACCAGGCAACAGCGGATTCAGGTTATCGTACATTTTGGCAGAACAGGTGCCCTAATATGCTAAGGTAAGATATTGGACGGTATAAATGTGTAAAATGGTAGGTTGCGCTAATCAACTTTACAAATTTTAAGAGCAGATGTTATATTTGAGATAATGTGGTGCCTCAGGGGCAGATGGACATGAAATGAACAACGTGGCATTCCTGAGGTTTCTTTCAGTAATCTTCTCCTTGAGATTTCATCTCCGACCTTCTGGTGAGTTCTTTCATATTTCTTCCCCTCTGGAGTTACTCTATTCACTGGGAGCACAAATGTACTGATTTATCCAAAGCAAATTACAGTAGAGAGAATGGTTATAATTAATGGGTACTCTATTGGATTTGAACCCACAACTTCTGCACAATGCCCTATTACAGAATGAGCTACAGAAGGTGTGAGCCTTACCATTGAGATCTTTACCTTCTAGCTGCCATTCTCGTTGTTTCTGAAGAACACGTGCCTTGCACAAGACCGTCTGTGTGAAGCGGTATGTCACATGTATTTAGGGTCCTGTCCCACCTTAGTAAATTTAAACAAGGTAACAGTTCATTTGCACAGAGCTGAGGTCATTTTTGCTGTTTACTGGTGTAATAACAGCAAATTTCTTAATGATGTTTCTGGTTGAGTTACTAAAATCATTTTGGCAATTTTTTTTTTAAAAAGTGTGTCCATTTTAATATAATTCAATTTTAATATAATATATTCCGAAACGGAATAGGGCATTAAACCTACACCCTGTCTCCACTGAAAGACTTGGGGAGATATATTGTTTAAAATATCATTAATAGATGGGGCAGTGGTTGCCTATTGTTTAGGGAAGCGCACTTGTAATCAAAAGATTGCGGATTCAAGTCCCCAACCAGCAAAGTACCCTGAGTGAGCCCCCCCAACACTGAATTAGCTGCCCCCTGTTATGTCATAATGTCACATATGGGTTAAACACAGGACACTTTTTGTTGCCAACAATATCAACTTTAATAAATAATAAATCATAGTAATTGGGGCAGTTTGTGACTCAGTGTGTTAAGATTTGCGCCTCTGATTGGAAGGTCACCGGTGTGAATCCTGGGGTTAGCAGATGGATGGTGTCGCCCCCCCCAAATGTGCTCTTATCTGTGTGTGTCTCATGGAGAGCACGATGTCACAGGCAAAAGAAAAATCCTTAAGGAGATCATTAAAAGTCCCTCCATTCTAAAGATGGGTGGTGCATCACCTCAAAGTATAGCTGGTTTAGTGTGGCTGTCAAGTGAACTTTTATCATATATGAACTCGGCAGCGGTTGAGGTCCATGCCCCACCCTAGACAAGCTTCTAAGCTACATTTTTGTTACAGTTCTATATCTACGCACTAGGTGGCGCTCGACATAAAACACTAATATGCTCTGACAAATTGGTAGCCTATTCGATGGTCAGCCACAACAACATGTTTCACTCTTAAAATATTTAAAATTCAGAAGAAAATTGTAGTGGTAAACTTATTTTCTGTGGAATAAAAACTACAACGCCGGTATAAACTTCTTTCCAAGAATCATATGACACTTGGAAGAGAAGCAATAAAATCTGAGACGGTCTAATAGCATCAACATGTATCACTATGCCCTGCAGAGAGAAAACCAGGCTTATTAAGTAGGCCTATTCAAAAAACGTTTTGGTTTATTACATTATGTGTTGAAAAAACACCTCAGTGAAATGTTCGTATAACACGCCCATTTTTACAAAAACTGACCTGTTTGACGGCGACCCCCCATTTGGTTTAAGCTGGAAATAAATACCTATAATGAAAACCAGCAACGGGGAAGTTGAGTCCACAAGGGACTGGACCTAATTCCCAGCCGGAACAAAGGGACAGTGAATTACGCCACCTTTTAAAAAGGCAGCTTTGTGCCCACGCTGTTTAAGCAGAAATTTAATTACTCTCCGGTTTCGCTGAGATGCTACCCGCCATGAATAATTTACTTGTCGCTGCCTTAATTTGCCAGTGGATCAAGATTAATTAGATAATTGATTGTGTTTATTTCTTTAGTGCGAGTGTATTGCTTTCTTAGATCTTGGGGTTATCGGATGTTACTGTATTAATACCATGTTATTCTACCGGAAGCGCAAATCGCAATAATGATAACAGTTTGGAGACAGCAACGTGGCGATAAGCCGTTTAGTTTATATCCCGGGTTTCCTTCGCTGTCATCAAATACCTTACAGGGGCAGGGCTTACTAACACACTTAAAGCTACACAATGCACGCTTACAAAAACCGAAGATGAATAGGATTTCAATACGTAAGGGTGAGAAATAGAGTATGCTGACGAGAACTAGGCTACTGATCAGCCGGAGTACTTGAAAGGCAGTACTTCTGTCTGCTGCTTTAATTTAGATTTTCCTCACAATATTTGTTGAATCTTTTTTTTTTTTAATCTTTAATTAAGGATTATGTTATGTTGTCATTCACTTCTAAAAACAAATAGGATATAATGAACTAGACGGCATAGGTCCATGTTAAAACATGAATCCTTGCTGGGAGGGTATTAGCAAATCCTTTGCTAAATTACAGGTTTTTAACCAGAGGTTTGAATTGGGTGATGTTCTGCATTTCCGTTACACCTATTCACCGGTAAGTTAACATAAGACAACCAACCAGCACTGGTTGGAGTATAGCTGCATGTTTCTTTGGGGTTTTCATAAGGTCATCTGTGCGGAATCAGGAAAGGTCACAGAGAAGGGGAAACGCGGCTCTACCCCTGTGTATCGTTTTGCTGTTTGTGTTTCTTTGTGCTCGCAGAGATTTAAAGTTAAAGTTATCCGTCTGCTGCTTAACCTAGTTCTTTGTTTGACATATTTATAAATAACATAATGGGTTTAAATCATCTTGTCTAGCCCCTCTCCCCGCAGCCCACCACAAGCCAGACACCTCAAGTGGTTATAAAGAGAGCAGGACTTGATTTAATTTGCTTTATACACGTGCAACATTAACAAGCTTTGCCGTATCTCCCACAAGGCACCGCCCGCCGTGAACCATATTACTCGGATTAAAGCCCCGTGGGGCCGCCGCGCTGTAGTTTTGATAGTTAATCTGCCCTCTGCACGCGAGTTTACACCTGCTTAATAAGAAAGTCACAGAGTTATCCACTTGGCCCCGTTCGCGTTTAAAGGGACGGGACTCAAAAGGCTCGCGCCGCTATTAAACTGGCACGCTTGTGTTCTGTTTGCGGTTTTGCGGGACGGACGGACACACACACACACACACACAAACGGCGCATTTCCATCTGAAAGAAAGCGGGGGAATTAATTCCTAGAAGAGCCTGTGCTGCCCCCCTCCCCGGTCCAAAAAAGCACTCTACTCATATGCTGAGCTCATTTAAAAGCTGCATTGGATATTAGTGCCAAAGAAAAGAGCCCGCTCCTTGAACAGCAATAGTAGCGTTATTCATCGCCTTCGCTACCGGGTCGGCGCGGGGGAGAGATAGGGGCGGACCCGGGAGGATTCTATTCTTCTTACACTATTTATTTCTCAAGACCCCTAGTCTGCATAGGGTGTATGAAAAAGAAAAGAGGGTGGGGGCGGTCTACAATAAAGAAAGTACATATTAGGCTTTTCATTTCCCAGCACTCAATTTCCTGGAGACCACGCTGAGCCCTTTCTAATGAAAGTAATTGCCGCCTCTGATGAAAATAGTATTATCAGGATCACACTTTGTGCAGGCAAACAAAGTGCATCCCCCCCATCCCCGCCCAGTCCTCTTTTAACACAGGCATCGTGCACTCCCTGGACCCCAACCGCCCGGAACGCACTGAGAAGGAGCAGCCTTTCACAAAGACGTAGTTTTCCCGAGGAATCGTCGATGGACGGTGGGGACGAGGCTGGACAGAGAAGAGGCGCCGCTCGATTAATTTCCTGCGCCCGCCCGAAAGTGCTTCTCCGTAATTTCCCGTTTCTGCCACGCATCCAGCGCGTGGGCAGAACGCACAAGCCGGCTCGTTTAAAACAGCGCATTATGAGCTGATGTTTGGCTGAGTGAGTGAATATGCTTCGTTTGTAACCAGAAGACCATTGGTTCAAAGCCCAGCATCAGTGATTTCAGTGCTGGGCCCTTAAGCAAGGCCCCTAACCCCTAATTTTCCCCTAGGACCTTCTGAAAAGAAAAATGTTCATCGCTTTGGATAAAAGTGTCTGCTAAATAAATAAAATGTAATGAGAATAACTATTCTCCTCGCTCTTGTGGGTTCTGATTTTTATTTATTTATGGGCCACAGTTGGATGGAGAGTGTGGGTTCATTCCCAGAAGCAGCCTGACCAGCACAAACTGGCGTCAGTCACCTTCGTGGTTTACGTTACAGCCATCATAAAGATGTTATATCGATCCATTGGATCTGCTCGCCGCTGAGGTATTGTAATGTATGACAGATTGATTATTCCTTTACGTATCTTCTTAGTGGACGTTCTTGTACAAATGGAATAACAGAGCTCATCATTTATTCATGTAATCAATGTTACCCATGAATATGATGGTATATTTTCACATTTTCATTCTGGTTGTTTCTCAAGGGTATGAAAGCAGATTTTACTGTGAGATTTGAACCTTCTCTCCTCATCATTCATGGTTAAATAGTTAGAAGTGAATGCCCAGTTCTCCTTTCATGTCCATTTGGGGACTATTTAGTCTGAGTATTTGTAGGATTGTATCTGCTGCTGATAGAAATGAATGCCTTTACTCTGGATGCTAAAAGGATTTAGCTTTTCTGCACTGCATTTCTTCCCCAGTTGTGGCGAAGCTCGAATCTGCCCTTTTGGGATTGCAGAAATGTAATAAACAGAATTTGATACTCCGTTAATGTCGAATTTGAAATAGCATTATTGCTGTTTGTGGTAGCGATTTCTGCAAAATGCACAGAAATAATTAGCAGCTTGAGCTTGCTTGCCACAGTATTCTGGTTATGGATTTCCAGCGGCCATTTTACTGAAAGCCAAAGCTGGATGCCAGTTAGCGCATCATACACACCTGTAACCTGACGTAATGTGGCTTCCAGGCCTTTCAACAATCCCAGTAAACCAATTACAAGGCAAAGTGGAAAACAGAAGGGCATGCACCCCCCCAGATACTGTACTCAGTCACCTCTGCTTTTCAGTAACCATGACAACACATACCCAGCAGTAGTGCCTAAAAATTATTTCCTTTTTGTCAAGGGGTGGATTAAAACCAATAAGAAAGAGGACTTATGGTTCAGTCCATTAAAGTATAATTGTCCCAACTCAGCAGCCTAAATGAGCAATTCACCTGTTAATTAGCAGTAATTAAGACTGGTGCTTGGTTAAATATTTCACTATTTTTTTATACCGCTTATTTAATCAGGGTCACTGTGACCGGGACCTGGAGTATAAAACCAGGTGCACTGTGGACCAAATATCATTTGCACTGAGGGCTCTTTGGAGTCAACAGTTCACCTGTGGTCAGCTTGGTATATACCACTGTGCCAGCGTGAGCGTGGCACATACCACTGTGCCAACCTTCATTCAGGATAGCGAACTCCTGCTGTAATTACAGCATCACACTCCTGTCTAACATGGGCGAATTAACCTGAGTGTGGCCTTTACAGCTCAACACTGAGTTTGAACTGCACTCTTTGGATATCATTCATGCCGTACGCACATTGAATAGACAGCCAGGCTGTGTCTCCTGCCACCCCTCTTCCTCTTTTACATTTTTGCATCAGCCGTTTATAAATGGTGGTTCCTGGGCTTGTGTTGTCACCTCACACTCCCCATGCATTAGTATGTGCCCCTTGTGTCCATGTGTCACCGTTGTGTGATTTGCGTGGATAACCTTAATCTGAATATTTAATACAGACGGTCCTCTATTTGCGAACAAGATACGTTCCGAACGGCCGTTAGTAACTTGAAATGTTCGTAAGTCGTTATTCAACATCATTTTAAGGGTATACGCAAGTACAAAGAACTAGGATGCTGGGAGTTCGCACGCTACGCTGCCGCGCGGCGGGAGTAGCGGC